TGGTATCTTTCTTTTTTTGAAAAGAAATCTCAGACATTATCTCCTCAAACACTGTTTCTGCACCATTTTCTCTCCCGTTCTGGGGCTCCACTTACAAGACCTTTCCAATGCATTCCCTCCGCCTCGAATACTCCTGTCTGTGCTTTCTATCAGCCTTGCTCTGTTACTCTGCCTGGTTATTTCCTGCTGACCTATTATACTCCCAGCTCACTGATGCTCTCTTCTGCCACGTCCCATCTTTTGTTATACCCGTCACTAACTTCCTAAATTCAGTGCGACTCAGAGTCCATTTCCCTGGTAACATTTTCCATCTTGCTACCCATTTTCTTGGACATATTAATCACAGTTATTTTAAAATTTAAGTGTGATAAGTACAGTAGCTGTCTGTGGACAGACTTCTATTATCTATGTTTGTGTCTTGGTCTTAGACAGTCATTCATGCATGTATGAACTGCAGAGGCTCTGGGTAATTTTATCTTTTTACCTTCAACTTCAGTGAGGCAGCCAGATTGGAGGCCGATCACTGAATTCAATTAGGCCTGACCCTTGTCACTGTCATAAGGGTCACTGTCCCTTGCATTTACCTGCACAGCTAGGATGTATCTCATCAGCTCTCAGTTCAGACCTGGGGTATGTGCTGCAGCTCCTCCTTCTTAGAAGTTCTTGAACCCGTTTTATCTCTTCAGTATCATGAGACTGTCACAAGCTCTGCCCTGCCCTTCCATGCCTTTCTGATTAGCCTTTAGCCACACGACCCAAGGAGTCGGCACATGCAACAGGGAAAAAGCCGGGTGTTAAAATCTCTTCTCTGCACTTCCATCATTTTGGTAGTAGAGAGCTTTGCATCTTGGTGATCCATTATATTTCACTATATTTCTTTCAATTGCATATCTGAGATTTAATAATTTGGCTGAACACCATATTATATATTTCTCAGTCTTTGGATTTCTTAGAAGTTTCTGTTCAAATGTTTTGCCAATTTTTTCTTGCTTGTCTTCTCAGTGATTTGTTGGGATACTTTATATATTTTGACTGAGACCTTTGTTGGTTATATGTGTAAAACTATCTCCTCCCATTCTGTGACCTGTCTTCTAACTTTTTTAGTGTCTTTTTTTTAAAATGTTCTTGATTCTAACATAGGTGAAATTATCAATCTTTTCCTTTATGGTTAAAGCTTTTTATGTCCTGTTTCAAAATCTTTTGTCTACTTTGAGGTCATAAAAAAGCTGTATTCTCATCTAAAAATCTTCATAGTTTGGCCCCTTTCACATGGAGCACATAGGAGCTGCTTCTTCTGAAGGAAATTAGGTCCAATTTCATTTTTGTCTAATATGGGCCCTAGTTGATCTGCATCTGTCTTTTTCATTCAAAATGTCTTCAGATGTTTCTATGTCAGCACAGTTCCATCTCAAGGATGAACCATAAAATTTGAAGAATATTTAGGAAGTTCTTTTTTTTTTCTATTCCAATGTTTCAAAGAACCATTTTACATTTGATTCTTTATACATATGCTTAAGCATATTCATCATGTAATTTCATAGAAGTGGGCCTGGTGAGTTAAAACCATGTGCATTTTACATTTTCTTAGATATTGGGTTTTCTATCTTACTTAAAAACATTAATTCCCTCTCAAAATTATTAAAAATTTCCACAAGTTTCCTTCCAGTGCTTATAAAATCCATTATACTTTTAAGTCTTTGAGCCATCTGGATTTTATTTTGGGGTAAGGAGTTTGGGAGCGATCCAGCTATATATTTTCCAAATGTCTGGCCAGTTGTCCCCAAATCATTACTGAATAATACATTTTTCCCCACTGATTTAAAATGTCATCATTATCATATACTAAATACCCATATGCATTTGGGTCTATTTCTAGACTTTCTATTCTTTTCCTTCAATCTGTCTGTCTATTCATGATCACATCCACTCGGGTTTAAACATTCCATCGCCAGAAAGCTCCGTAGCCTGGGACGGTCAGGCCTCGCCCCCACACCACTTCTCTGGTTCACAACTTTCCTGCTTATCCTCATATTTATCTCTTGACATGAACTTTAAAAACTAGTATGCTTAATGTCAAAGATGTTTTGTTGATGTTTTGTGTGATCCCTTAAACATAAAGGTTAGCTCAGAAGGAGCTGGTTTCTTCACAATCGCAAACCTTCCCACCCAGAAACACCATCTTTCCATTAACCCCACTACCCTCGCGTCTCTCCTGGAGGAGCGGGGCCTCCCCGTGGACCCTCCTTCTGCCTCTGCGCCTCACGCCCGCTCGCTGTCCCCACAGAGGGTCACAGGCTTTCTGCCTGAAACACTCCCTGTAGTGTTTGTCCATCCAGGGTGGCTGGCAATGGCTTCTCTCAGTTTTCCGATGGCCTGAAAATGTCATTATTCCCATTTCCTTTTAGAAAGATTCTTTCTCTGGGCATAGAATATTAGGTTGGTCATTATTTTCTTTCATTTGTTTGAAGATAAAATTCCACTATCTTCTAGCTGCCCCTAACTCTGGCCCGTTGCCCTCTGTCAGCCCCTGAGAAAAGGTGAGTGAACTTTCGGGGAAAAGCGATTCCCTGGAGTGCTGAGTGCAAATCCACTCCTGAGGCGGAACAAGGAGCCCACATTGCCGGGCCCTGGAGAGGTGCTTCCTTCACAGGGTATTTCATTCGCGATCACCAAGCCCAGGAGGCAGGCGCCATCCTCCATCTGCAGCTGGGGTGGTGCCAGCTTAGGGCCTCTGCGGCTCGGTCTTACACTCCACAGCCTGATTCTAATCTGGTCGCCTGTCCCCAGACCCGCCCTTATGTTCTGTTGACAAGAAGCACCATCCATGAGCCTCTCGAGATCAGGAAGACTTGAAACTAGAATTTCATGCATGTTCAGGTGGAGTTCCTTTTCCCTTCAGGCCTCGTCTCCACTTTGCGAGAAGGACTTGCAGCCAAAACGCACCCCATGCTCCCACTAAGCCACTTGCTTCCCCCGAGCCTGTGCTCTCCGTCCCCAGGGGAAGCACCACCCTCCCAGCCCCGCTCACAGGCCCGCTTCTGTCTAGCGCCCGCTGAACCCAACCAGAGACGCTGTCCTTCCCGGGATTCCTGGAGCTCTCCTCCACATCCCTGCAATGGCCAACGGGCTGGGCAGGACTCAGCTTGCTACAAAGCCTGGTGAGGCTTCAAAGGTTTTAAGGTGTAAAGGTCCAGGCTGCCAGGCCTGCCGCTCGGCTCAGCTCTTCGAGCTGCACAGTGACGGAGGTTCTGGCCTCACTTCCCAGGACAAGACTGGCCTTTGAGCACACCCGGCTATGGCACAGCTGGCCAGCAACTGCCCCCCGGTCCCACTCCCTGACCCGGGTCAGCAGGTCCGCCCTGGTGCTGCGGCCTGAATCCTGTGGTCAGCTCCACGTGCAGGACAAGGAAGCTGGGATCCCAGCTTGTTACCCCAGCTCTTTGCGGCCTCATCGTGGCCACAGCCCTGAAATGGCCTCCCGCTCACAGACCACGCCAGAGCCCGCCCAAAACCCACTGTGACGGAGGCCCACATGGCCCCATGCTGGGGGCCTGGGAGTCCAGGTTCTCAGAAGAAGCTCTCGAAATGGGGACTCAGTAAATAGACGGTGTGAGTGAGGCCTGGAGGGGACGAGGATAAGGACACAGGAAAAGCAACCCGAAACTTGGTAAACACAGACAAAAACCTCCTAAGAAAGGACCCCCAAATATACACGTGCAAAAGCGGTGTGACCCAGGGCAGCTGTGAGTGGAGACAGGAGGCTCTGTTTGAACTGGACGAAGACCTGGCACAGCCACAATATCAGAACAGCGCTTAGGATCAACCCGTAACCATGGTTACAGAACAAAGAGTATGCTCTCAATAGTGGGAATACAAATTTGGCTGACAAGGCCTGGAACATGGGTGGGAGAGAAGAGAAAGGGGGCGTCCTTGCCTTAGGGGGAGCAATGATGAAGCCGTGGCTATCTCAGTGGGGGCAGGGCAGAGAGGGACCAGGACCCATAACAAAACATGGCAGAAGCGTGCCCTGTGACTAAATGGAGGTATCACCACAAGATCTCAATGAGAACAGTCAGCTGGTGCTGATGGGGGTGCCGCCGGGGGAGGGCCAGCCGGGTCTGCTGCTCTTTATTATACTTCATGTCAGCTGACTGCGTGACTTTGATCTAATTACTTGAGGGAATGTTTAGAGCGACATGTCTCATAAACACAGAGTAAATGCTAACCGTTGTGCTCTGTACCTCCTCTGTGGGGGTGCTGTTGGAGATACCTGGAAACATCAGGTAACACAACAGCTGAGCCTCTGCCCCTGCAGCTCACAGTCCAGGCAGCAGGCAGACCATAAGCCACACACGCAGTAAGTGACGCCCAGACTGGTGACAGGTGCCACGGACAAGGAAAGGTGGTGAGAGGGTGAGGGTGAGGGCCGGGGGCGGGCCATGTGTGGTGGTCAGTGTCAGGTGGTCAGTGTCGCTGAGAAGCCACGAGGAGGTGGGTGACAGTGGGAGAGGGGACCCCGGGGACTCGCGTTCTGGTTGGAGAAGGAAAGACAGTAATACTTAAATGTATGAACACCGTTAACGGAAGCGCCGGGATACATGGACCAGGAACAGCGAGTACTGTGTTTCTGTGATGCAAAGAGACTGTTTCCACATTTTCTAAAACTGGAAATTTTGCAGTCAGTCTGAGACCCCATGCCCGCCGTACCCCTGAGCATCCTTGTTCAGCCGAGGCGAAGCCGGAAGGTGCCTATGGAGAGGCCAGCAGTTTGCAAAAGTCACTCCAGTGCCAGTTGGACACCAGCAGGCAGAGCAAAGCCGGGTGACAGAGCTGAACAGGAGGTACCCCTGGAGCGGGCCCCAGGGCAGGTGGGGAAGCACGGGCTGCAGAGACAGCAGACCCGGTCCCTGCACCCCTCCCCGGGCACCCAGAGCAGTCAGCCAGAGACCCCATCCAGAGATGCACATGGGGAGGTCACACCCAGAGCCACAAGGAGGACGCCCACATCACTCCGCTTACACACAGATGCCGCTGTGACCGGCCACCAACAAGTCCTGCCAACAGAGCTGTGATCACTGATGTGATAAACGTGAGTAAGCAGCGAGGGTTACGGAGGAGATGGTGCCTCTAATTAGGGGGAAACTACAGAAGGGAGATAAACATGTAAATCTGGTAGGAAATCGAAGCAAAACATGGAAACTGAGTAACATATGGACGTGTTTCTCTGTGACTACAATGGTTCTAATATATAGCTTAGCTTGATATCTGAAGGAGTAAATAATTTTGTTTTTGAGACATAACTTATTAAGGAACAGTAATTTTGTTCATTTGTATCCATGTATTCGCAGCCGAGAATGTGCTGGACGTGAGCCCATGGTGTCTTACCCGAATCTACAGCATGGAGAGCCCACGGCCACGCGTGTGCTCACGTGTGCTGACTGCTTATCCTGGGGACGCATTTGCAGGCCTTGAAACCAGGTACCCTCCCCCTCGCCCAGTGGTCCTCCTGGTGTGTGACGCATCTGCAGCGACAGGAAAGACGCCCATAGCACAGAATTCATCTCCTCAGGATCTTAAGAGGCTTATGCTGGAGTCACTGGCCTCCAGAAATCGGGCGATCATGTTGCCAAAGACCCAGTGCCCCAGATCTGGCCTTGCTGTTGGGTCGGGTTCTGTTTCGGCCAACTGCTCACATTCCCGGCCCCGATCCTGTTTCTTCCTGACAAAATAACAGCCTTACAAGCAGCCGGACCAGGATGCAGCCAGGATTTTGTGGCTCAAGTGAAATAAAGCGTATGAAATCTCCCATATATTGTGAAACACCACCCAAATATTAGCAATAAATTGTAGCATGTTTACAGTGTTCCTGTGCTTGGGCTAATACCCTTGATAAGGAAACACGGAGAGCTGCCACTCAATCAGACCAGGGTTGTTTACCTGAGACAGTTGTGCGTTACGATCTCAATTTCTGAAATGGCAACATCGTCATTTGCATGTCCACAGAGAAATATCATTTATGCTAAAGATTCCCTGCTAACAAACCATGGAAGTAATCATGAGGCACCTGAATCTCACCCCACACCTTCGGCTTTGCTGCACAAAGCAAAGCTGGCATTTCAGTGCAGCTGTCATGGAATTTGGGGGGCTGGGGGGGCTCCTCAGAGATGGTCAGCCCAGTGGTCCTGAATTCTGGCTGCACACTAGAGTCCCTTCAGGGAGCTTTAAAAAGACGACGAAGAAGAAAGGAGCAAAGAGAAAGAAAGCCGAAGCCGGCCACCCCAAGCTTCTGACCCAGCTCTGCCAGGCAGCCCTGGACGCCAGTACAGTTCCAACAGGCAGCCATGGTGGGAACCACTGATGAAGGGAAGCTCCTCACTTTACAGGTGAAAAAACCTGGTCCCTTCAATGGAGAAGTGGTCTGAATAGACAGTCAAGAAAACAGCAGAGCCCAGGCCAGCCCCCGTTTCCCAACTTCCAAACCAATCTGTTTGCACCAGAGTTCATGACCCCACTGTGTGTACGAAGGTGCACGTGCGCGCGCGCGTGCGCGCGCGCACACACACACACACACACACACACACCCCAGATGAATCGATGACAGGCTTTCAGATTAAGAAAATGAAAACATTACTCCACAATGAACAGCAATGAACAGATTAAAACTATGTAAAGTTGGGGTCTCGTAGTTTTGTTTGTGGTTCCATTTAGAGTGAAGAAACAAAACACGAATTGTTGATGCACTTTGGTCTGTGACAGAGGGAGCCTGCAGCACAGGACCCCCGTCCTCGGCCCGGCTGGGCCAGAAGCAGGCGCCTAACTCAGTGGTTTAGTCCAGAGACTGGTCCGAGCTGGCCCTTCCTTAATTGATGGAGGTGACGATCGCACTCGACGCTGGAGGCACAGCTGGCTCCCGCCCCATCCCACCACCTTCGGGGTCTTGTACTTGCTTGGGAGTATTTCTGTTCCCTGAAACAAATAAGGGCAACAAGACCCTACCCAGGCCATCAGAGTCGCCAAGGAGCATTTATTCCAGCCACACCTGCCGACGGAGCGGGGACTTTCCTGCGACCACAATGGCATCTGATGTGTAGGAAATAATACAGAATGGAAGAATTCCATTTGGACGCAGGTTATAACCAATGACGAGTAGAGTGTTTTGTTTCAACAACTGGGTAAACAACACAAAATTTATTCCGTTTTGCTAAAGAACGGACTGACCCACAGGACAGGACCAGTTGGAAAGACAGCTGTGTGCTCTCCTAGTCGCTTATGGGATCATCTGCTTTTTGTTTGTTTAGTTTTATTCCTTACATTTCTGTACCTTTCCAGAGTCTCAAGTAACAGGACTCAAGGGGACGTCCTCAGGGTGGGTCCCCGAGACAAGCCCCTCCCTCCGCTACACAAGGAAGTCAGCAGGCCCCTGAGGCTGCACAAGGGGTTGGAAACAAGCACACAGCACCGAGGTGTGCAGGGAGGTGAGGGCCGCGGCCAAGGATGTGTGGTGTGAACACGCCTCTCATTGCCCGGTGGTGGCGCTCGGTGGGGCCCGCCCAGCAGCAGGGTCCAGCGTGTCTGGGTGAGGACCCTGAGGCAGTGAGCCTGATGGCAGAAGTGGGGGCCAGGAGACACAAAACCGCACTGCACGAACCCGGCCTGGCCCGCGGGAGGTGCACAGACACCAAGCAGCACGCGGGATCCATGTTCCTCTCACTGCTCATTCACAGCAAAACACTCACGCTAGTTCTCCAGTGTCGGCCAGCTACCGAGCCACCCCACACAGGACCAAGCCCAGTTGTGTCAGTTGCGCTGCTGTGGCACAGGGCGCCAACACGTCCTACACCCCAAGAAGACAGAGGTGGAGTCCTCAGCCTCTGCCCACGAAAGCCTTGCAATCCGCTGCTGAAAACTGCCAGACCGGACACAGAAATCATCAGCCCGGATCTGTGAAAATTCAGGGCCTTCGCGCTAAGAGGGGGTATCTCCACGCACCTGGGGCCGAGTCGCTGCCTCTCGGGGGCTCCTGCGAGGATGACTCCTGACCCAATGGGCCCACCTGCCCATCTACCTGTGACGCTGCCCCACCTGGAGGCTGAGAGAAGTGGAACGCGAGTTACTGTAGTGGACAAGCTCCCTCGCTCGACTGCTGTGAGTGCAACAGAGTGTAGGGCTGAGGGGATCTGGTGATGCGCCCCAGGTTCCTTCACCCCAACAAGCTGACGGGGAGGAGCCTGTGGAGACAGGAGGAGCCCAGTGTGCCTGCAGCCATGCTCATTTTTTGAACACACATGTGTGTGCGCGCGTGTGTGTGCATGTGTGTGCACATGTGTGCACGTGTGTGCATGTGTGTGTGTCTGCGCGTGTGCACGCACGTGCACAAATGGAGCTGAATCCATTTTAACTCATCTCAAGTCATTACTGTGAAGGCTCAAATTGCCTTTCTCTTCCTGTTGCTATGCCAAATTAAACTTTGCTTCACACCGTTTAACTCAGTAATTAATTTCCTTTCCCTTTTAGGTTTGATTAATTGGAATTTAGAGTGGAACGCGTCTCCTGATCATGCCGAGTGACATAATCCCGCATCTCTGGACTTGGTGTCTGTGTGTGAGGTGCCCACTGCCCCCCTGTGAGGACGAGGGGTGTGGTCCTGCCCGCAGAGCAGCCTCTGACCACACAGATTGTTCCCGCAACTCATCGCCAAGGACGATACGAAGTGAGACCGTTTAGCATGCTACTTGCTCGATCTTTCTCCTGAATCGAATATCACAAGGAAACGCCCAGCACGCCTCCTGTTACGTCCACGGGACACAGGCTGGCAGGGCGCATGGCAGCTGCCAGCAGCCGTCACTGCGGGGTGAGATTGGGTGGTGTGCAGGGATGTGATGGACCAGTCCCTTTTTATTCTCTATATTTCTAAATTGCTTGCTTTTAATGAACATGTGTCCATACAGTATTTGTACAATTCATTTTTAAAGCAACACATGATCAGCCTAAAAGGGGAAAGCAGCAAATACTCCAGTGATAAACATTCTCCCTTTTTATGAAATCACCTGCGCTCAGGTTCACTGCCCAGAGCTGGCCATGGAGGAGAGGGGCGGGGTGCAGCTGTCCCTGGCAGGGACACACCACCGCTCAGCCCTTCCTCCCTGGAGAGGGCAGAGGACAGAGCTCAGTGAGAGCTAGGATCTGAAAGGCTGAGGACACAGCCGGGGAACCCGCTTCCTTGAAGGACTTCCTTCTGTGACCCCAGACAAATGGCAGCGAGGCCCTTCAGTGGGAAAGTGCTTGCTGAGTGAGTGGATAGAAGAATGAATGAACGGGCCCTTAGTCATGTTTCCACACCAGCAAGAGGCTCTTCACAAGAAACGTGCCAGCCTCCAGCTAAGGACGGGCCCACCAATGCTCATGTTATCTCCCACAAGCTGCTTCGGGATTGCCCAAAACAGCCTCACTGTGCAGATCAAAACCCGCAGATGCGGCCTCTGGGCCCTGCTGACAAAGTGACCCTTCGAGGCCATGCCCCTGAACATCCTGACCCAGGGGTACAACACCACGAACTCATGATTTATCCAGACAAAGCTGCTGCAGACCATCTCCTTGGAGCCTAGAAACCCAGCAGGACGTCACAGCCAAGTAAAAGATCCCACAGGCTGGTTGTCACCAAAACAGGAGCATCTTCCCCTCAAAGCGGGAAGGCTGATGGTTTGAAGCCATCCCACGGAAACCCAGTGTGGCGCTCCCTGCAATCAGCCTGAGTCGGGGGCCCTGACCTCGCACGTCCTCCGGGCCAGGCCGCCCCCAGGCCCAACGCCCCCAGTGTCCAGCCTTTCCGAGGGCTCACGGCTCATGTGGCACAGGTTTTATGGCCGCTGCCTAATCTTTTTCAAACCGACTGTACTTTGTCACAGTCTCCCACTTGTCAAATTAAAGCTCCTTATTGTTCTATTTTTTCCAGTGCAATAAAACAACAGCTTTGTTTATCGAATCTGCCACAGCGGGCTGGGTGCCCCCAGCAGGTCACAACCAGCAGTTGACAGGCCCAGCTTGTGATCACTAAACACAAAAATGAAAACCCAAAAAAGAAGTGTTCTGAGAACTTCTAATAAAAATATTGATTTGGCCTGCTTCTTCCTTTAGACCTCCACAAAGCTTAGGAAGGAAAAGGAGGGGAGGAGGGAGACAGGAAAGCTGGGGGGGGGACAGCAGCTCCTTCACATGCTGGGGCCCGGGAGCCTGTTCCGGCCACAGACTGGCATCCACATCAAGCCCCGAGCCCCAGCAGGGCCCACACGAGAATGAGGCCGCACACAGCCCCAGCCTGAGACCCGACCCAGGGGCCTCTCCCAGATGCGGCCTCAGTCCCCCTCCAAGCCCAGGCGGCCCGGTCAGGCTCTGGCTGGCTGTGTACCGGAGCTGGAGCAGCCATGCTGGGGGGGACAGGCTGCCGACCTTCCCCAGGCCCCAGCTCGCCCTCCCTTCCTTCCTGAACCATGAGCGTGTCCATCACTGGACTTCCCGGCTGCTCTGTGCCCAGGGTTTTGCTCAGTGCTAACCCCACCCCGGAGACCACCTTCCAGGGACCATCCATCCACCTGCCCACCCACCTCAGGTGCCACAAAGCCTCCCCCTGCGGCCAGGATAGGGGCCTCCTGACTCCCCCGTGGCTGCCCCCGCGTGAGGGCCGCAGGCGTGGCGGGAGTCTGGCCCACACGGCCCGGGGCCGAGGCAGCAGGCTCTACCCAGGCCTGCCTTCAGAATCGGCTCAGCAAACTGACATCTTTATTATTATAGATTAGTCCTATTACAAAGGCAACACGCGATGGCTTTACTAAACGAGGCAACGCCGAGACAGTTAAACAAAAGGTAATGATGCCTCCTATACACCGCTCCAAACTGCCCCCAAAGGTGCCAGTGTCCTTTTTTACACCCTCCTTCCTGGTCACACAGGGAGGGGAGCACGTATACATCTATGGGTTTCCCAGAAAACAGAATCATCGTAACCACCGCTCTGCAACTTGCTCGCTCTACATACACACAGCGGACATTGCCCCGGCCAGGAAATAGGCACTAACTCACCTTCAAGTCGCTGCACGATGCTCCGTGCTAGAGGGCCGCCACGACCAGTGAAACCATTCTCGCATCAGTGAACTTCGGCGTTACGGCTTCTGCCGCTGTTAATGCTGCTGTTCCCCCGTGCTTGTGTACATGCGACTCCCCAAATAGACCATCGCATACTTTTCATTCCACAGACCCCAGGTCACAGTCTAAAGACGGTTCCGCTCACACACTCAGCAGCAGGGCCATCGTGCCCACCTCCCTGCGTACTCACCAGCACTGGGCGTCACTCATCTCATCACTTCTGCCAATCGGACAGCAAGGTTTATAGCTATATCCCCTAATTCTTGTTGAGGGCAAATGGACTTTGGTACAATATGGCAATTTTCATTTCCTGTTCTCAAAATTGCCATTCACATCCTTGTCCACCTTCCAACTAAATTCTTTGCCTTTTTCTTAAAATGTGTAGAGTGGCATTAGGCGCGCTCACACTGCTGTTTTAGCCATCACCTCCCTCATCTCCAGAGCTTTCTCTTCTTCCCAAATAAACTCTGTCCCCAGGAGACGTTAACATTTCCCGCTCCCAGCCCCCGGCGCCCGGCGCCCACCATTCCACTTTCTGTGCCCATGAATCTTCCACGAGGCAGCCCTGAGCACAGCCGTCCCTTCTGAGAGGCAGGAGGCAGGAGGTGTGTGGTGTGTCCCCGCCCCTTCCAGAGCCCAGCCACTGGGAGGCCTCCGTCCTACCTTGTGGGTTTTGAGCCCCACCTGAAAACACAAAGCACCAAACGTTTTCCTCTCCGCCTACTAAGAGGAAAACGGGGTTCAAAGGCTGAAAGGCTAGCCCACCGACAGACAGCAGGAACGAGAGGGGTGTGACGAAGTGAGGACAGCTGCTGGGCAGGTCAGAAGAGGGAAGGCTCACTGCTGGGGGCGGCGGAAGGCAGGTGCCCACTAGATGGGCCTCTCGCTTCCTCATCGTCAGGGGTCCGGCTTCCACCACCCACCATCACGAAACTTCTCATGAATCATCTTAAAAGACTGGGATAAGTGCCGGCCGAGTGGTGCATTGATTAAGAACTGGCTTGGAATGCCAGAGTGCCCCGGTTCGGATCCCACATATGAGGGCCAGTGACACTGCCCTCCACAACTAAGATGCTGAACAACAGCTCAACCTGGAGCTGGGCTGCTGTGAGTCACTGGCGACGGCGTAGGCTGCAGCCCCTGCGGCAGTGGGTTGCCATGGGCTACCGTGTGTAGCCGGCAGCCAGCGTGAGCGGCCAGCAGTCGCAGTGAGCAGCAGTCCAGAAGCCAGCAACTGATCTGCCTCACCCGGGAAGAGCGCAATGATGGTGCCAACTTGGGCCAGTAAAGCAACGTCCTCCACAACTAGACTGAAGAAACAAAAGGACAGCAACTTGTCTGTTCCCCTTCCCCCAATTCCCCAATAAAATTCCCAACCCCCAAATTCCCCAATAAAAAAAATAAAAAATAAAAAAATCTTTAAAAAAAAAAAAAAAAGACTGGGATAAGACACAGACGCAGACACACGTACATGCACGTAGAGTCCATCCCACTCCCACTAACTTTCCACTGTCTCCCCTTGTAATAACGTCCATGGCGGTGTTCACATATCAAACGGCATGAGTCTCACCCCAGCCTTGGCCCCCATGGTGACCCTGTCCTTGGGGTCGCCACGGTTGGCAGGATAAGGTAAACCCCCTACCCCACACTCACCGTTCACACAGGTCTCGGATGGTCTGCAAAGGTCATCATCCAACAGGCAGCCTGGGAGGGAAACAGAAACCAGAAAAGTGTCAGAGCTGAGTCAGAGCAAAGAGGAGGACTGTGTCCGTCCATCAGAGGCCGTGGCTGCCGCCCGCCGCCGAGCCCAGACACAGGGCAGACCCACACAGGCTCTTTGTGTTTGGCTGTCCTGACGTGATGCCGGGTCATCTGGATGCCAGAACATCATGCTCTTGGCTTGAGTGGGTGAGAGGACTGGCTTCTCCCCCAGGAGGGCACTCGCTCCCACATAAGCCTAGCCCTTCTGGCAACAGGGAGGGCGTCTGCCCCAGGGGACCCTCCAGGAGAGCAACTGGGGCGTGGGTCGGCCGTCTTTGCAGACACCTCCTTGGTGGAACCACCCAAGGAACAGGCCTAAGGGGCTCTCTGTCAGCATCGTCACCAGAACAGGACCTCTGGGTCCTTCTCAAACATCCTGTGCCCGACACCTCCTGCGTGCCTGCGGGGGAGGCCGGCAGTCGGCACGGCTGCCAGGAACAGAAAGAAGAGGCAGAGGGAGGACACACGTGCTCCGTGACTATCGCGGGGTCTGAGCGTCAAGAACAGCTGGGATTGGCTCAGTTGGTTAAGAGCTCGCTCAAGAGTTTGAGCTCTGAGCAACAGCGGTTCGAGTCCCGGCCCAAGCTGAGCTGCCAACAGGTGGCGGGATGGCTCAACTAAAAAAAAAAAAACAAAAAAACGGCTGAGAAACTGTGACCGGGGTTCCCCTTTCACCTAGATTTTAGGAGTCGGCTGAGGTGATTTTGAAACAATTGTTTTTATCCTCCTCTTTAGCTTGTTACATTTCAACATGCTTGTTTGTGTCCTGCTATCCACTGCCGATACAATGAAACGGAACAAAGGGGAGCGATTTGAAACTGCATCACAGTAAAAGCCCAACTACTGATAAAGCTGTGACACTGACCCTTAATAAGTATCACTCAGAAAGGGTTGGGGGTCAACGACATTTGAAAAATGGGGGTTGCCATGTGACAGGTCTTGCTCAGCCTTCCGAGCTGCAAAGAGGTACCCTACAGACGGTGTCTGCCAAATCACCTGCAGTGCACCCCCACCACACATCACCTCACAGCGAACCAGACCAGGGGCTTACAGAAAGGTGAGGGCCACCTGCAAGTGTCGTCCTGCCTCGGGGTTCAGCCCTCAGCACCCGGAGGACGGTGGAAACGCGGAGTGCTGGGTCCACTCGAGGTCTGACTTGGCAGGTGTGGGGTGGGGCCTGCGCCTCAGCTCTGTGACAGGCTCCAATGGAGCTGGTGCTCCCGGGACCCCATTCCCAGCAGTCAGTGAGGCGAATTTCCCACCTGCGTTCAGTGTGGTGAGAGGCTCCGGGCCACGTGCACCTGGAACATCCCACACCTCTCCTAGAAGGTCAAAACCCTTAGGTGCTAAGGGTGCTGGGAGTTCTTCTTGTAATGAGAATTGTATCAAATCTGTTTAATCTGATATTTTCCTATTTTTGCTATTTTTACGTGTTTTTGGCCATGTCATTTTAGTGCGTGCACATGCAAACAGCCCACTCAACAAGACCACACGGGGGAATCACCACGATCTCCTCCTAAAAGGAACTCTCTCCTTTATAATCGCTTCCGGTTTAGTTTAGGCTCCTCTCACATCTTCCCTGCCCTGTGACAGCCGGGCAGGCAACTTGCTGCTTCACGCCATCTCGCTATCCGAGGACCACTTGGTCTCCGGGTATCAGCACAGCGCCCGCAGCGCCCACGGCCCCTCCCTCACTCCGCCAGCCAGGACGAGACTAGCGGGCCAATTTAGTGTCAGAATAGCCTGTCTTCTGCTGGGGATGGGGCTCCCAACCCCACCACCCAGGGGTGACGGTTTGTTCTTTCACATCCTCCCATCCCAGGTCTGGGAAGCGGAGCCCTGGAGAAAAACAAGATCTGCCGAAAACTGCTGGGTTCTCACCTCTGACGACAGCTGCTCTTGTAAGAGGCAAAGCTGTAAGCCTGGGAAAGAGATGGCCGAAATGATGCCCAAGGAGAGGGTTGTGGCTGGAGGAGCCCACACCAACCTCCCAAAGGGGCATCATTGCTGGGGAGGCCACCCAGCCAGGGGTCGGACCCAAGCCCAGACAGAAACGTCACTCGTGGCTGAGGAGGCAGCTCATGCTGGGACAGTTCTGAAAATTTTCAGGCTCTGTTTTACTGAGAGTGAGTTTATCTCCTGGAAGCTTCCCTTACTTCCAATCATTGCCCTGGCGACACTTGGCCTTCCACACAGCGAAGCTTCCCCCTCCTAAAATGAGATCGCAGGCCACCCAGCACATGCTGAGCACACGTTATGCTCAGTGAGCGCACGTCCCGTCCGCTCTCCCCTCCTCCACAGGACAGCCCTTCAAATGTACAAATTTGCTCTTCTTCAAATTAAATATATCCAGTTCTTTCACATGACACGGTTTGAAACCACTTGACCAATGTAGCCTCCTTGCCGTAATACGCCATCTGGTCTAGACCTGCCTTACTATGCTGTGGGCGTGTCAGAAGTGAGCAGAGAGCTTCGGAGTGGCCACCACCTGCAGCGAGGGGACAGTCCTCCCCTAGTTCTGACTCTCGTCTCCTCTCCCGAGAGCTTGAGACCATCAGGCACTAGGGTCAGGGAGGAACCAACGCTAGCAGCTTCGGTTACGAGGACTAGCTTCTGCAGAACAGGCAACCACGGCCACAAGTTTGTAAATAAAGTGTAACTGGAACACAGTGCCCACCTGCTTACATATCATCTGTGGCCACTTCTGTCCTGCACCAGCTGAGCTCACCAGTTGTGACAGAGACCGTGAGCATGAAAAGCCTCAATTATTCACAGAAAAGCTTAGCTGACCCTGATTTATTAGAAGGACAACAGGTTGCTCATAGGACCAAAAAGAGGTCAGAAATTTGCTTGGAAAAATGGGCGGGAACATGTCATTGGCCTCGTGCCCCCAGCTCGGTTCCCACGAGGCAGCTGCATACCCCCAAACCTGGGCTCCACCGCCCAAGGGCACGCGGCCTTCCCCGGCGCCCACCATGTGTTGACAGATGTGACAGCAGAACACAGCTGCTATGAGAGTCACAGTGGAGCCCCCAGCCTGGACCCTCTTGCACTGTGCCCCCCACTGGCTCCCTGACCCCAAGAAAAGGCTGCCGTCCCTGTGGAAGGCCTCCTTTACACTTGGGGTGCTGCCCTGCCTACACCCTCCTGGATTCTACTCGTGCAACTCCAGCTGAGGTTTCGAGGCAATTCATTTTAGGTTGGGGAGAGGCAATTTGTGTAAAGACTTTCTAAAAGTCTTACAGACACCTTTTAAAAACCAAAAGGAATTTATCTTTAGAGGAAAAACACCATGAGAGCCCCAATGACTTATAATCAAGATTGCTGATGACAGCATTATTTTTAATGGGGGAAATTGTACACAATGTAAAGTTACTTCAAGAAGGGATTGGCTAAATAGGTTCTGTGTGTGTGTGTGTGTGTGTGTGTGTAGAATTATTATGCAGTGATTAAAATTCATGGTGGTGAGAAATGGGAAAGACAGGGGATCCTTTATGAAGTATTAGAATAAAAAAGTGCAGGTTATAAAAGTGTATGTGCTACATGATTCCAGCTCTCCTAACTGAGCAAAGAAAACGACTAAAAGCCAAAACATTAACAGGGATGTTACCTCTGGGTGATGAGGTAACTGGTATTTTTTATTCCTTATGATTTTCTGCATTTTATTAATTTTCTAGACTTTCATAATATGTGAAGTCCCCAATAATGGTTTAAGTAAACAATGGTTTAAGTGCAGACAGAACATGCAGTGTTCTGGCCCAAGCGGCCGAGAGACCCGCGGAGCGGGAGGCACCCACAGGCCACTGCTCGCCCTGCAGCTCAGGTCTCCACACGGGGCCAGCACAGCAGCACCCCTCAAACAAACCATCTGCTCACGCACGTTCTCCGGCTCCCCTCACTTGTTGCGTGACCACCTGGAGGCACACAGCACAGGAGCCTTGGGCAGACGCTCAACGGGACGGCCTTCCTGAGGCCACGCAGGGCGTTTTAAAAGCGCCTGTGCTGTCCCCAAACTTGTCATTTCTTTTTATAAAATAACTACGAAGTTAGGAAGGGAACACTTCTCCAGCCTCCCCTACCAAGGGGCTCCCAGTGTGGGGGGCTAAAGGGCTCTGACCCCAGAGCACGGCAGCCTGGGGTGGGACAAGACGCCTGGCACCCGGGTCTCCCAGCCCCGTAGGGGCCGGGAAGGAAGAGAGGGTGGGAGGGGCTGGGAGAAGGCGAGCTGGGTTAAATGATCAGGAAACGCCTGTCAGCACCGAAATCGAAAGGGCCTAAGGATGTTCCCCTTCATGACAGTTATTATTTATGCCAACCTAGGTGGCTGTCTTGCCGGAGTCATCACGGCTACAGTGCAACATAATCGCACTCCTCCGTCGGTGGTTCTAGATCAATCTTCCCTGGATGCTTAAAGCAGGTTCTTTATCTCCAGCCTGGGAGCCAGGGCTCTGAGTGGCACAGGCAGGCGCCGCTGCCCAGGCTACAGGAAGGCAGCCGGCCCCACTCAGAGGAGGAGGGAAGCCACGGTGAAGACCTCCAACAAAGCATAGCCGTGTGGGTGTGGGGAAGCCAACAGTTCACAAACAACCCCTGGAAAGCCGCAGATAAAAATGAACCCTCCCAGCCAACGGTGCACAGCCTCAGGACAGAGTGAAACCCAGGAGCCAGGAGAATATCGTCACTGGAGGAAAATGACGCAAGAAATTTATGTAATATGGAAACACTCTTAAAACAGCAGCCCTAACTCCACCACACGGCCGCCCACCTAACAGATAATAACGGCATACAATTATGCAGCAGCACATTTTATATTATCTTTATACAAATCTGTGTTACTCAGATACATGTCAGCAATTAGCGCCATCCCGCCCCCTTCAGAATCATCTGGAAGCTTGAACTCACCCTTACAAACCTGTCGCCTAAATATTTACCTGGACTTGAAAAG